CACAAGGTCAAGAGATCGAGACCATCCTGGTCAACATGGTGAAACCCCGTCTCTACTAAAAATACAAAAAATTAGCTGGGCATGGTGGTGCGTGCCTGTAATCCCAGCTACTCAGGAGGCTGAGGCAGGAGAATTGCCTGAACCCAGGAGGCGGAGGTTGCGGTGAGCCGAGATCGTGCCATTGCAATCCAGCCTGGGTAACGTGAGTGAAACTCCGTCTCAAAAAAAAAAAAAGTTGTTATAAATAAGCCTACAAAACGACCCTGAGCTGCTAGTCTTTCCCTACAGGGTAGCCCTGCTCTGCAGGAGCTGTCGCAGAACTGTAATATTGCTGCTTCTATAAAGCTTTCTTCTACCTCTGGCTTGCTCTTGAAGTCTTTCCTGGACAAAGCCAAGAACTTTTGCAGGCTAAGCCCCACTTTGGGGCTCACCTGTCCGGCATCAGTAGGAAGGGCAAACAAGCTCTCCCAGGCCTCTTTTATAAGGAAACTTATCCCCTTCATGAGTATTGAGCCCTCATGACCTAATTACATCCTAAACACCCACACCGTTTAATATTATTGCACTGAGCATTAGGTTTCAACATGTGACTTTTGGGCAGCTCCAAACACTCAGACCACAGCAGATAAGTAGGAGTGCAAACTCAGTCCACATGCAAAGCAGGAGCTGGAGAGGGTAATGAAACACTAGCCCATACAATAAGAGTATTTTAGAGAGAGGCTCAAATGCTAGGATCCGCATTTAGGATTTCATGTGTAAACTAATAATCCTTGTGGATGCTCAAGACGAGAAACAACGATGCAAAAACGTTTTTAGAAAAGATGCTAGTTTGGAACTGTGTTCCAAAGTGTGGTAAGGTTGATAGTCTGGACATTAGTACATCAGGAAGCATGCTGTCTACTGTGTGGGGAGGAGCGGCCAGTGTGGATTTCCTGAAAGTTGCCCATTCCCTCCCGTCCGAATCCCATCTCCCTTTATTCTTTCAGAGGGTCATGTCAGGACTGCATTTCTGCAGCCTCTCTTGCCTCAGCGTTGATACATGTCCCCAGGAACAAAGGGAAAAATATTCTTCTTCCTTAAGTCGTTTTCCTTGCTTCCGTGCTCTTTCTCCCTTTCTCTTCACTGGAATAGTGAAGTCAGGAGGGCTCTGGAATCTGTTTTTTTTTTTTTTTTGAGACAGAGTCTCACTCTGCCAGCCAGCTGGAGTGCAGTGGTACAATCTCTGCTCATTGCAACCTCTGCCCCCTGGATTCAAACAATTCTCCTGCCTCAGCTTCTTGAGTAGCTGGGATTACAGGTGCCCGCCACCACGCCCGGCTAATTTGTGTATTTTTAGTAGAGACAGGGTTTTGCCATGTTGGCCAGGCTGGTCTCAAACTCCTGACCTCAGGCGATCCACTCACCTCAGCCTTCCAAAGTGCTGAGATTCCAGGCATGAGCCACCATGCCTGACCGGCTCTGGAATCATTTGCTGGAGATTGCTGGGCTGCCCCATCTTTGGGTTCCTGAATGGCTTGCATGGACAAGTACAACCCAAGGCCCACCTGCCTTGCCCAGACCCACCTAGATAGTTACATGAGAAATAAACAAGTGTATATTACATTTGAGCCACTGTATTCTGCGGTCTGTTTCCTTTCCGCAGTTTAACTTACTCAACTGAAAAAAAAGGTATACAAAATGAAGAGGAAATAAATATTTTTAAGCAATAGGGACAGAAAGAGATCCTCGGGATTAAAAATAGCAATAAAATGGTGACTTGTGAACACCTAATGAGCCCCAGAAACATTTTCATATATTATCTTCTGTTCCAGAAACAAGAGCTACCAGAAGGAGCTTCTATTTTGCGCATTTCTTCAATAAGAAAAGTGGGACTCTAGGATTTGACTAAGTTTGAGTTAAGGAAACGTGCTTGATTTAATTCAGATCTCCAATACATGCTTTGACCACACACCATATCGACATATTCTATAAACACCTGTGAGAGAAGGTTCCACCCAGCTTTTGCCACAGAGAATACATGCCTTGTTTGTTCTGAAGCATCTGGGTCTTTCAGAGTGGGAAATTTAATGGAGGTTAAAGAATACCCACAATGCTTGAGGGAGTGACTCTCATCTTGGATGGTTTTAATCATTAATAGCGTTATTTTTCCTGGTTTTACAATATAGAAATACTGAGGTTTCTTTCAGTTGAGAGAAAAAGCATAGGTCCTGAAGCAAAGCCTTCGAGGCACTTATTAACTTGCCAGCTTTATAGCACAACACTTCATCTGCAACTCTAATAGCTTAGTGCTTGCAACAGCCCTTTATGAACAGTAAATAGGTTTCCCCTTGAAGATCGCAGCTCGATCCATATCAACAGTGAAAGGAAGCTCCAAGGTCATGTGACCTAGCCCCTTCATTTTTTAATGCCAAAGAAGGCTCCCAGATATGGAAAGAAACTTACCGATTGACATAAAACTGGCTAAGGCAAAATCAAGAGCACCCATTGCTAATTTTTCTTCGTAGACATGTCTCTCCTGTAGTTGATGCTCCCAGAGGAATCAATCACAAGTAGCCCTCCAGAGCGGGAAAGCTAGCTCAAGATGAACTGCATAACATAACCAGGAAACTGAATTTTCTAATAAAAATATTTTTCTAAGAAAATTAATTTTTTTTATTTAGTTGAAAACCAAATCATTCTCACCTTCCTAGAAAAGATTTTTAAATCCCTCCCTCCCCCAACCAGCCTCCACCCACAAATGTGGCCGATTGGGTTTGTCCACACTTTTCTCGGGATATTAAATTAGGAATGAAGGTACCTCCCGATGCCAGTATGAGAAAGAGAGAAAGAGATAAGCAAACAGAGAGATAGAGAGATAGAGAAACAGAGAGACAGAAAAAGAGAGACAGAGAGACAGAGATGGAGAGAGAGACGGAGAGAAAATGACTTAGCTGCCTTTGTTAAATTCAGAGACCACCTAGGAACACAGGTTGGTGAGGGACTGGAGGGTAATTTGTTCACATAATTACAGAAAGTCTCATTTATATGTGCTCACTCAAATGCCCTGGTTAGAACTTTTCAAACAAAGCTGAATAGCTAGGATGTTATCTAGAATTATACTTTCATTACAAATGTCAGAGAGAAAGCTTTTACTATGTAATCATTGAGTATAACTGCATTGCATTTAGGGGGAGACATACAGTATTTTAAAAGTTTCTGTTTATTACTGTTTTATTTAAAATTGTTAATGAGCATTGATTTACTCAAAGATTTTTCTAAATGTATTGTTTATTACACATCTTTTAAAAATTTGGGCAATATGCAAAATTAAATCAATTTAGTTGTTTTAAAAAAATACTTTGCCAATCTTAAATTCTGGGAATAAAAGAAAGTAAGAAGTCATGATAGATTATATAATGCTTTCTATTTTACTGTATTCAATTTTCTCATATTTTTCTTAGAAAATGTTGCCTTTCTGTTCACGACAAACATTGCTATATAATTTTCTTTTATTATGTTGTATTTTCCAAGACTTGGTCTCAATGTTATGCCAAATTCAAAAAATTAGTCAGGAAATATCCTCCATTTTAAATTTTGTAGAAGATTTCTTTGTTTTTTATTTCTTCAATTTGTTCTTCTTCATAGTCTTTTCCTTAAATAATGAATTTGCCAGTTGTGCATTCTGAGTCTATAATTTGCTTTATACAAAGTTTGTAATTAAAAATGAAATTTTGTATGAATGTAGGACTATGAAGATGGTGGGTTTCCTGGGTCTTATTTTTTGTTTCTATATATGTATCAGTAGATTTCTTTTTTGCCTATAAATTTGAGCTTGTCATGTAAATAAATACATTTCACATTTCTTGCCATAAAATTGTTCACATATCTCTTATTATGTATGTTTTAGCACCAGTAATCAATTTCATCTGCTTTATTAATACCTAGAAACTTCTCTTTATTTAAATATTCTTTATTAATATCAATTTTATACAGAACATTAAAGAAACATTTTTGACTTTAATTTCTTTAAGCTTCTATTTTATTAATTTATTTTATTATTTTGGTATTGTTTTATTCTTACATTATTTGGATTTAATCTGATACATAGATGCTTACTTAACTCATTGATTTCCAACTTTTCTCCATATATAAACTAATTGGTCAAAATTTCTATACATAGGCAATTGCTCTTCATCAGTTACTGAGAGAGATATATATTTTTCACTATGAATTTGTATTTTATTATTTATCATTGAAATCCATGGCTTCGTTGTTGTTGTTATGTATATTTTGAAGCCAGATGATTAGGTATATGCAACATAAAAAAAATGTTAGGTATTGCATTTCAATAGAAACTATTGTTACCATCAAATATTTATCTTATTTTTAGAAATGCATGTCATTTTTTAAGACTCACTTCATCTTATTAGTATAGCTATTTTAACTTTATACTTGTTTATGTTTGTGTGGTGCAACATTTGCCTTCTTTTTATTTTCAACTGTTCTGTGTCTTTGTATTTTAACGGGGTTTCTTTGAAGTAGCACATCACTAATAGTGTGACTACAATTGATTTTTATGGGAAGGCTTTAGTTCATTTACATTCCGTGTAACTACTGATAGATTAGAATTTAAGTTTTTTATCCCAAATGTTCTATGGGTCTTTTTAACTCCAGTCTTGCCCAGTTGTGGACAAATTATTTTTATGTTATTATTTTTTTTCTCCATTAATTTCCTTGTTTCTTCTATAATTATTATTCAAGACTTTTTTGAAAAATAATTTTTAGATTCACAATAAAATTGAAAGGAAGGTACAGAAATGTCCCATAAAACCCCTGCTTCCTCACATGCACAGCCTTTCTCATTACCAGCATCCCCCGGCAGAGTGGTACACCTGTCATAGCTGATGAGCTTGCCCAGACACATCATTATTATCCAGTGTTTACAGTTTATATTAGGGTTCGCTCTTGATATTGCTCATTCTATGGGTTTAGACAAGCTTATAATAACAGGTATCCACTGTCATAGTATCCTGAAAAGTTGTTTTACAGCCCTAAAAATCTTTGCCCTCTTCCCATTCATCCTTCCCTGCCTCTCTCTGATCTCTGACAATCACTGATCTTTCTTGTGTCCCCATAGCTTTGCCTTTTCTCGAATGTTCGGAATTGTAAAGTAGGCAGCCATTTCAGGCTGATTTCTGATCATTGTTTGGATATTTTCCCCTGTCCAAATCTCATGTTGAATTTTCATCCCCAGTGCTGGAGGCGGGGCATGGTGGGAGGTGTCTGGGTCATGGGGGCGAACCTCTCATAACTTGGTCCTGTTTTGTGATAGTGAGTGTGTCCCTGTGAGATCTGGTCACTTAAAAGTGTGTGGCAACTTCCCCACTCACTCTCTTCCTCCTGCTTTGGTCATGATGTGCCTGCTCCTGCTTTGCCTGCCACCAGGATGGGACTCTTTCTGATGCTTCCCAGAAACAGATGCTGCTATGCTTCCTGTACATTCTACAGAATGCTGAACCAATTAACTCTCTTTTCTTATAAATTACCCAGTCTCAAGTATTTCTTTACGGCAACGAAAGAATGGCCTAACACAGCTTCTTCCACTTAGTAATATGCATTTAAATTCTTCCATGTATTTCGACGGCTTGATGGTTCATTTCTTTTTAGCACTGAATAATATTCCATTGTCTGGATGTACCACAGTTTATTTAACTTGGTTGTTTCCAAGTTTTGGCAGTTATGCATAAAGCTGCTATAAACATCCATGTGCCGGTTTTTATATGTACGTAACTTTTTAACTCCTTTGGGGAAGTAATGAGTGCAATACTGGATTGTATGGTTAAGAGGATGTTTAATTTTGTAGGAAACCGCCAAACTTCCTTTCAAAGTGACTGTACCACTTTGCATTCCCGCCAGGAATAACTTAGAGTTCTGCCTGCTCCATATCCTCCTCATCAGCATTTGGTGTTGTGAGTTCTCAACTGGGACCATTCTAATGGGGATGTAGTGGTATCTCACTGTTTTAATTTTCATTTCTCTGACACAGGATGTAGAGCATCTTTTCATTTGCTTATTTGCCATCTGTATAACTCCTTTAGTGAGGTTTCTGTTAAGGTCTTTAGCCCATTTTTTCATCAAGGTATTTGTTTTTTACTGCTGAATTTTTTTTTGAGACAGAGTCTCACTCTGTCGCCAGCCGCCAGGCTGGAGTGCAGTGGTGCAATCTCGGCTCACTTCAACCTCTTCCTCTGGGGATCAAGCAATTCTCCTACCTCAGCCTCCCAAGTAGCTGGGACTACAGAGGCGTGCCACCAAGCCCAGCTAATTTTTATATTTTAGTAGAGACGGGGTTTCACCATGTTGGCCAGGATGGTCTTGATCTCTTGACCTCATGATCCACCCGCCTCAGCCTCCCAAAGTGCTGGGATTACAGGCGTGAGCCACCGTGCCCAGCTACTGTTGAGTTTTAAGTGTTCTTTGTGTATTTTGGATAATAGTAATTTATCTGATGTGTCTTTTGCAGTATTTTCTCCCAGTCTGTGACTTGTCATTTCACTGTCTTTTCAATATCTTTTGCAGAGCAGAAATGTTTAATTGTAATGAAGTCCAGCTTATCGATTCTTCCTTTTAACAACATGGACTGTGCTTTTGTTGTTTTATCTAAAAAGCACCAAACCAAAGGTTTGACTTCATTGTCTCCTTTGCTGTTTTGTAGTTTTACAGTTTCACATTTTACAATGTGGTCTGTGATGCTTTTTGAGTTAATTTTTGTGAAGGGCATAAAGTCTGTATCTATACTTGTTATTTTTTTTTTGCATGAGAATGTCTAGTTGTTACATCACTATTTGTAGAAAAGACTACCTTTGTTCTATTGGATTGCCTTCACTCTTTCATCAAAGCCATTTATTGTATTTATCTGGCTCTATTTCTAGACTCTGCATTTGATTCTATTGGTCTGCTTGTCTGTTTTTTTCACCAGTACTACAGTGTTTTGGTGATTGTAGCTTTACTGTAAGTCTTAAAGTCAAATAGTGTAACTTCGTTATTTCCTTTCAATACTGCATGTTTGCATTTCTTGAGGATCTGGTACTCATGTCTACTTTTCTCTTAATTGTGTTTCTTGGTGAGCCTAAGATTTTTTCTTTTGAATAATGGAAGTTCTCGGTGATATTTATCTTTCTCTAATAAAGTTGTGTTTTTGCCTCCTGCAGGAAGTTGTTATACAAGATCATTTAAACTCAGTTATTGAGCTAATCTAAAGATGGGTTCCATTTTTAAGAGAATAGATCTACATCTGGTTTTAGTTTTTCCTACAGTGAGGTCCTTCTGTGGTACATCGTGTCTAACTAGCTTCTACCTGACCTTTCTTCTCTGCCCATCCCTGGAATTTAGTTTTTTCTTTCCCAAGAGAAAAAATTCTTTTGAATTGTCTCTCCATCTTAGATATTGCTTCATGATCATCTTTTAAGCCTTATTACCGCCTTCTGACTAACCGTAAATACAGTGAGGGGAAAATTATGGAACAGTGGATTCACCTCAGTACATTCTCTTTCTCTTCGGAATTTTAGCAAACTCATGTGGCTGCATTGGTGAAGCTCAAATTTGTGTGTGTGTTTTTAAGCCATTTTTGTGGTAGTTTTCAGAAGGAGGATTGGGCTGATATAAGTTATTGCTTCAGATTTGGAAGCAGATGTTACACGATTTAAACAGTATTCACATTACCAAAGGACGCTGGATAGATGCAAAATGAACTATATTTTAAGATCACCTAATCATCTTGTGAGTAACATAATTATACTGAATTTGTGAGTTTGTTAAAAAGTGACATTATTTGGCTAAATGTACACAGTTTAAATAAACGCCAAAAGACTTTCACTTTTAGAAAGTGGGAAAGTCACAAGAAAGTATTCCTTCCTCCACAAGAATAAAAACAAATGAGGTAGCCTACAGAATGTCATACTTTGAACCTAGCAAGAAACTTAGGCGTCAGGGTTCTCTCAAGAACTAAAAGCCAAGTGGTGATAAGCTCTTTCAAGAGAAGAAGTTACTCAAAATAATTTAAAACCCTTGGCAACAAGAAAAAGAGAAATTATCCATCTACGTAGACAAAAAGAATCAAGTTCTAATTTTTCAAGGTGTGTATGGACTGACCTGAGGGTTCAGGACCTCTGATCATGAAGGGAGGCTGAAGATCTCTGACATAAATGGTCTCTTCCTGCATGCAATTGCTAGACCTTCTTGAATGTAGGTCAGAAAGACTGTAGGCAGAGCAGGGCTGAAAGACACTCCTCTGTGGAGCAAGCCTGCCTGAACCTCTCGATCATAGTCAGCTGAATTTCCTGCCTGCTGGTTTTCACATTCTCCCTGGTCAGTCTGGTTCTGATGATTGTTTTGTCTCTGCACACTTCTATTTCTTGCTTATTTCTATGCTTCATAATTTTTCTGTTGACAGCCACTCACATTTTACAGTATTTAAATAAATACTTGTTATATTTTAAGATAAGCCTGTATTTTCTTCTGCTGGCCCTATGCTCTGCGGGTTTGCTAACCTTCTCAAGAGCTGGGCTGAGGTTAAAGTTCATTGTTGCTATGGTTACCCTCAGTGAGCCAGAGCTTCAAGTCTCTCTAGGGATAATGAGTATTTCTAGTCTAGGAAAACTTGCCATAGAGGTCCTCACAGTGTTTATGCTGTGCTGGGCTTTGGGTCATCTCTTTGAGCTGCTCTGCAGATAGAATTTGTTTTTGCTGTTCTTCTAGATAAGATTTTATTGTGGGTTTTACTCAATGCTTGCAGGTGTGGCCACTGGGGAGGAATGGGAAAATTTCCTGATGCTCTAAGCCTCAGTCACAGGCAGGCACTGTCAACCTGGATGTCCAGGTTTGGACTTCATAAGTACTTCTGCTCCTTTGTAATGCTGGGTCAGTACTTATTCCTACCCCGCCTTTTCCTCTCTCAGTCACAGTGCATTTCCACTGTGTCCTCGGTCAGTGTTTTCACACACTGTTGTTCCCCTTCCTCCTACATATCAAGGCCTTTGTTCCCTGTGTTGGGATGGGGAGATGAGTCTGGGTGGGATTCTTGCAGTGGTGGCTGCTACGCTCTCCCAGGTAGCACCTGGGAATAGCTTCCCCAGGATTCTCCACAGTCCCCCCTGTGAACATCTGGTGAAGTCAAACCCACATGGAGAAAATCCTGCAATAAGAAACGAACCTCCCTACATCAGTGGGCAACAGGGGCTTCATACTTTCCTTCTAGTTGTCACTAAACATAGAGCACATTGCTAAAGATTTCTGGCTGAATCTTCCCATGGCTAATATGGTATTTGATGATGTCTGCCCAGGTATGCAAATGCTCAGGGCCTGCCCCTCTCTCCAGGTCTCTGTGTCTCTAGATTTCAGGTTATCTGTTTGCTCTGTGACATAAGGTTTCTGAGAAGTCCAAGGAATGTGAATGACTTGCAGTTTGTCCAGCTTTTTGCTTGTTATAACAGTGGAAGTGACAAAGATTCTCTCCTGGACCAAACTCTAGCTAGGCTCCCCAGTCCCCATTCTTGAATAGCCTCCATCTTGGCCTTCAAACACCTAAATGTTTTAAGCACTAAGGTAGTTTCTAACAGCTCGAGGCCATATCCCTAGGATGAAGCTAGGCCCCTTAAAGTGCCTGCCTGAGAAACTCAAGGCTGCCAGCAGCATTGATTGTTGACTCCAGCCAACACCTGAAGACAGATTGTCTCTCAGCCTCTGTGGGAGGCCAGGGGCCTAATTTTCATAAGCACCGGGGAACAAGCCCAGATGAAATTCACATGGACCAACCCTTCTCTTGCTTTCTGTAACTTTTCGCTTCCCCCTCCTGCCCTCAGCTAATCCCCATTCTCCCTTTAAACACCCATCACCTCTGAACAAATCCTAGTGTTCAGTTCACGATGCTCTTTTCCTTACTGCAGTAGCACATTACAGTACTGATGAAATCCAGCTTTGCCACTTAGTGTCTGGCCTTATCTTTAACAGGAGCAGCAGCCTTTCCAGCTCTCCCTATCGCTGAGCTGAGACTGAAAGTTTATATTGTAGAATAGATTTATTTGTGCTTAAATGCGGTGCTTTTCCTGTTTAGTTGTTGATCCTATATTCCAATTCAAACGTTCTTTACTATCCACTCAATGACAGTAGCGGAGGATGTTCAATAAATTAAATGTGTCAACAGTATCGCCCCAAGATTTAAGAGGTATGATTTCTGAGTGTATAGCTGACCCATCAAATAATAAGCAAGTACAAATAGGACTAACGCTTTGAGTGACTTCAGTCCATTCTATGCTGTCAGTCTTTCTAATGATCCCCCCAAAGTAGAAAGGGAAGGTCATTCCTAAACTTACCTAATATCATTCATTTTCCAACTAATACAGAAAAGGGAAGCTTTAAACTTCTTGAACACAAAAGAAAATGACTTTTATTTTATTTCTAAGATCCATCAAATTCAGCTTTCAAATCCGATGCAGAAGAGTTATATCTCTCTGTATATTTACTGAGAGTCTAAATCTTAGACTTGTGTTTTTCACATCTGAGTGGCTCTCAAAAGAGCAGTGGTTGATGAAGTAAAATGCCGCATTCAGTGACTGGCAAATATAAAGCAAACTGCTTTCAGGGAAGTCAACTGAAATGCTTGCATTACCTACATGATCACTCCGAGGTTGGAAAACTAAAGTTAATCAAAGTACAGTGAAGGGTGGTCTGCCGTGCACTTTGTTTTATCTGTGTGGATCCTGGCCTGTGCAGTTACAATAAAGTATCATGTTCCTTCCATTATAAATTCCAATTTATATGAGTTTATAACTTAGCTCTGTGAGTTCAAGATGGCCTCCAATTTCCAAAGCAGCATCAGCCCAGGAGCAAGACTTTAAATGGCTTGTCTTTCTTATGGAATTCAAAGAAGGGAATGAATGAAATAGAAGTTTTCTTAACTGCATGCTTTTTTTTTCCTGATGAAATACATGTGATATTGAATGCAGTACTGCAAGTCATTTCTGTGTATTGTGTGCTGCAGGGCCCTTGGATATCATGTCAAAATAAAAGCTTATATAAAAATAAAACTCAGAATAGCCTCAAACCATCAATAACAAAAAT